TCAAGGAGCCAGTGCCAGAGCAGTCGGGGAAGCTGCTGCCAGCAGGCAGAGCCAGGCTCCAGCTGCACCAGGGACCCCATGGCATGCCTGCTGGGAGAAGGGCAGCCAGGCAAAACCAGCTACACAACCATTAATTAATAATTAATAGCATATCCAAACATTAATCTGCCTCCCCAAGAAAAAGGCCACACAGTCCCACTAAATTCAGGCTCCTTTGGAGGGCAGCTGAGTTGCAGAGCCTGAATGCAGAGACAGCTTCTCAGTTCCCTCTGGGGGCCAGTTATGTGAATTAAAATGAAAGGAATTCACAGCCAGGTCAAACTCAGGCAGGCAAAGCAATGCTCAGACACAGAGACTGCTTTRGTCTCTTTCCTAAACTGGAGAAAGCCAAAAGCAAAGAGATTTGTAGCAAATATGGAGTAGGGAGCAGCTGAGGTCAGCACTGAGTCCAAGAATTTCCTTGAAACAGTAAGAAATAAAAAACTAGCTATTTTTAAAAATAAAGAATGAGCTCACCTTGTAGTCATTTGACAGCATGAACTGGTGAGTTTGAAAGCACAAAACACATCCTTTTAACATCAATGCACATGACCCCTTCATTTCAGAGACACCAGGAGCAGGTAGAAACCCTAGGGTTCAGCCCAATTGCATGAGTTTTGTGCCAGGTTTTAATAGGGCAGAGCAATCCTAAAATTACATTATCATACCTGTTACGACAAGCAGCCACCACATAAATTCTGCATTCCATGCACTCTTAAGCTGAAAATATTTTTCATTTTAGACAAGGACAACAAATGATGCCAAACTGAACGATAACACTTCATAGTTTCAAAAACAGTTAATCTATGAAAATACAAATGATGATTATAAAAAAAAAAAAAAGACCTTTCCCTCTGATAAGGCTGATAGACAGTTTAAACCCCAGGCCCTCTGTGTGAATTTTCCTTTTCTTTATTTCTGCTTGATTATCTTCAATTCTGAAACTACATGAAAAAGAAAAAAACATCAAAAGAAAAAGAGATTTAGGGAGAGTTAATCACATGCAGGGAAAAGGTTATGTAGGCAATGCAGATCCAAGGGAACAGCAATTGTACAAAGGCTGAACCATTTTACTGTGATTTGCCATGCAGAGGAAAGCTTGCTTTGGCTTTGACATGAGCCACAGAGCAGAAATGAATTTTCTGATGGTGGCACTTTCTCTTAGAAAGCCATTCTTCAGCCTGCATCAGTCAGGGCACTCGTGGTGCTCATCTGACCTGCCCACAAGGGGTTAAAAGGTTCCATGTGCATTAACACCACCACTGCTGCARAACCATCCCCTGCTTCTGCAGCACAATTGCCTCCAGCAGTGCCATCCTCCTGACCCAGCTCAGTCCAATCCTAATCCCAGGGCATGGGGATTCTACAGCAGCATCCCCAGCAGCTCTGGGGCAGCACCACCAGCAGCTGTTTCTCTGCTTTTCATGTTTTTCTCATGTCAGAAGGCAGGGAAGACCAGGGAAGTGTTACTGTCGACCCAAAAGGCCTGAGCCAGATCCACAAAATTGTCCAGGTGCTTACATTCACATCAATTTCCCGTGGGACTCGGTGACCAAATGCACACTGGGTGGGTGTCACAGTAACTGCAAGGTGCTGCACACAAACAAATCCCTTTGAGTGCAGCAGGTGTCAGTTCATTAAAGTGATACAAGATAAACCTTCCTGCATGCTCTGTGTCTGTCCAACAGCCTGGATTCCTCCCTCTGTGACAGCCAGGGCACCCCAGGAACATCCTCCACAGCAGGACAAGAGCACTGGGTGGGTGCTCCATCTCATTTCAGGGCTTGCTCTTCTCTTTTTTTTTCCCCCACAGAAAGAGGAAAGCYTGTTGAACAGGGATTTTGCTCTAGGAGACCCTGGCTTTTGAAAAGGAAGAGCTAAAAAGAAAAAAAGACCTTCTTTCTGGAGTGAGAAAAGGGACAATATATTAAAAAAGACCCTTTACAAGAAAATGGAATTGTGCTTTTTGAAAACAAGCTGTGATCTTTCTGGAAACTGGATACAGAGGATTAGGAGTGTTTCTGACCAAGCTACTTTGAAGTGACAAGCCCTTCAAAAGAGTTTTTATTATTGGTATCTTATAGACTTCCACTCTCTGCAAGCTTAAAAGTTCRTGAATTAACTTTTAGGGTGCAAACAAAGCTTATAAATATTTTGAAACCACAATCAAGCCTGTGCAATGAGCAAGCAAATTGTACTGTGTGTTTGAAAATCAACCTAATGATGGATTCACAGTCTTAAAGAAACTCTTTCACTGCATTTGTGTGGATCTTTAATTACATACTTCTCTTCATCCCCAGCCATCAGCTGTGATACCGAACTAGAAAGCTTTATAAATCACCGGGTTAGGCTGGGTTTAGTGTCGTCACACTATTACAGATTTAGCTTATTTCAGGAAGACAGAGCAGTTGGAATTTCAGGAAGAYAGCAGCTGCTGATTTTTGTCAAGTGAAACATGGAATTCTACAGGAAGTTTTTAAATTGAATTTCAGGCCAACAGAAGCAGCTCCTAAATATCCTGGCAGTGCTCTGTCTGCAGGATGCTGCCTTGCTTGGGGTTTGCCTCTGGGTTTCATTTTTTAATGACTGACACTTCTATTTGGAGAGTGAATACACGGAGCTGCTTGAACAGGAACATTTCTGAATACGTTTCAGTGTACACAGATTTGAGTCACAAAGTCTGTTAACACACAGTTCCTGGTACTGCCCCTCCATTTTATCTMGAGATAGGAGTCTTTGCTCCACCCATGGCAAAGTCACTGCTGTGCTGCTGCACTCTGGGCTGTTCTCTCCTCTTAGCCAAACTGTGYAAGCAAGAGCTGCTTTGTTGTCCCACTGTAACTTAAAACACCAAACCAAAGCAGATTTTGCTTTCTGTGTTCAGTTCTCCTGAACGGCAGTGCTGCTCTCCAGGAGCAATGAGTTAGAAGCAAAGTCAGCAGCTGACAAGTGCCATCTATTTCCTTCACAGGAGAGTAACCCTGGAGGGCCTGGAAGATTAGTGCTGGGGAGCCTCTGGTTTGAGTGAAATGAGCCCCAGGTGTCAAACAGAAACACTCCTGGTGCTCAGAATCCTCTGTAAAACAGGAAATGAATCCTCTGTAAAACAGAAATCCTCTGCAAATGATGACAAGCATCATTTGCTATGGGCTATACCCACTCTGTAAATGGCAATCTCAGCCCTACATCCCCACCTYAAAGGGGCACATGTTAATACAGAATTTGTGTTCTTGGCTCCTRTTCTCTGGTCAAATGGAGCATTTCACCCTTCAGGAATGTAGTTYTGACATTTTTCAATGCCTTAATTGGCAAAATGTGAATATAACAAAGCAAAAACGCGTATTAGCTGAGGGGGGATTTAAATGCCAGAGAAAGGAGCCTGGTGTTGATAAATGAGAGGGAATTAGAGGACACACTGATTTTGTGGTAAAGACACAGGATCATGCAGATGCTGACTTGCTGAGCAGGGTGAAAATAGCTTCTTGATTTTTCTTGAAAATTACTGTCTTTTGCAAAGGACCAGGCTCTGTGAGGTACTTGTCAGACTCCTGGGCATTATGGAAATGCCACAGGCAATCACTGAAATGTGTCTGAAGGTTGTCTCATGTCCAGATCATTTGCACTCATCCATAGCTAAATGACTGGAAATCAGCAGCAACTCCCATTTTAGGCTTTGGGGAAAGTCAGTGAGAAATTCCCATGTGTGCTTGTGATCCCTCCATGCTTCCTCAGTGAAGGGGAATATAAATGCTTTTCAACTTTTGGCAGAAATCTGAATTTCAGTCTTTCAAGGTACACATTCCTTTTTGGACTCTGTGTCCCCTGTGATTCTTGGATGAGATATTTAACAGTTCCAAGCTTGCCCTTCCCATCATTTAAGACAGGCACTGCCCACTCTGTGGGAATGCTGTGTGAAATGCTGACAGTCAGGACTGAGGAGAAGAAATCTCCAAAACTTTTGGAGATGGCTCATATAAAAATACCACCAAACCCTGCCATCTGCCCAGAGATTATTCAGGCAAATGCCATGCACAGAAATATCTGGCAGAATAAAATAGTCCATAAACCTGATCCCAACAGTAACTGATGCAGCAGTTGGGAATCAGGAGCCAGATTTGCTTTTTGTGCTCCGTGTCATTTGGCTGAGRCTGATTCAGAACCCTGAGATGCTCCTCCTCAGTTCCTAATTAGCTTCAGAGGGGACGTTTTAAACCAGTAAGGACAAGGAAATCTAAGTTATCCTAATTCTTCAAGTTCGAACCTTCCTCCACTGCTTTTTCACTACATAAATACAGTATTAATATTCAAATAAAAATCAGTATATTCACCTTGTCCCTTTTTTGATTAGTAACWTCCAACTTCATGGATTAAAATGAGATGAAACAGATTTTATTATCAGTTTGGAAGATAACTTTCATTTGATCTTGATTTTGCTATATTATCTTCTTGATGAGTCCAATATGGAAATTCCAAGGCAATCACACGTCCAATGCAATAATTCTGTATAAAACTGTACAAGATACATGAATTGAAAATGTACCAACAACGTATTATCTACACATGCCCATTTAAAAAGAAGAAATTATAGAATTAACAGGAAACAAAGATTATTCCTTACTCATATTAGGCCTGACTCCAACACTAGTAATCATATTGACTGTTGAATAGCTCCACAAATACTTGCACTCAGTGGAAGTACCTAGGTAGGCAAATACTGCAGGGCCTGGCAAAAGTGGGAGAATCTGKGCTCCTCTGATTCAGAGGTTTATTATTAACAAAACCCTTGGCTGCTCAAAGCCCACAGAATGGTTTCCAGTGAACAGTCACACCACTAGTCGGAGAAAGGCACMCAYGAGATAAAGGAGAATGAACCAGCTYACTGACGTGTTGATACACAGCTGATAAGGAAAACAAAAAACCAGCTTCAAAAAATACAACAGTTGAGTTTCAGTGGAAGCCAGAAGCAGCAGCTGGTCTCTCCTCTCTCCCAGCATCACAAGGTGTGTGTGACAATGCTGAAGATATTTCCMATCCTAGCCATCCTTGCAGGTAAGAACAGCAAACTGATGGAATAGAGGGGCAAAAAGGGAAATTGCTGAAGTAAGAGAGCARGTGAACCTGACTGGCAAATGAGGAGAACATTTGAGGTGATTTATYCCAGGATGGAATGAAAATCATGGCTATACAGCAGACCATTTTATGGAAATCCACAAACTGAGATCTACCTGATGAGAGCTTTTTGCTCAAGAACAGAATTTTGGCTTTGGTAGGTTAATGCTTTGTTCTGCYGTCAGGAAGAGGCAAAGAGCTCTCACATGGACTGGTTGGGTCTTTCAAGTGTTCCTAGGTCAGATTTTTCCATATTTGGCTTTTGTCTCCSCTTGATAATAGGGATGGAAAATGATGCCCCAGTCCCTCAACCACCARAAAACCTGGGGGGATGCTTAACTTTAAACACACAAATAATCTTTGGCTTTCCCGGAAATTAAGTGAGGAYATAATACTTTGTGGGATCTGGGAATTATATGGTATAGTAAAAACTATGTATTATTCATGTTTCAAGGGCATTTCATTGTGCTAAGCTTTACTTTTATCATATACAGAAGCAGTCACTTTAAGTCTAATGCTCCATGGAGATGAGCAGCCCCTACATCCACTACAGAAAATGAAAGTTAACTTCCACATCTTCTTTTAAAGATGGAATTGTCTGGCTTGGGTGCCACAGAATTATTTTAAATAGCTGTTCCTGGAGTTTCAGTGTTCTAACTCTCACAAAGATATAAACCCATCAGATTTTCACCTTCRAAATGAAAAGTAATTCAGATTTGGTACCAATATTTTTCAAAGCAATGTACTTTAATTTGATAGCTCTGGATTTAAGACCAGCAGTGAGTCCATAACAATGTGTGCCATTGGGGGTTTCTGTCATGGCTCAGAAAAGATCAGCAAACTTGAATTTACTTCATGGGTGTTAAAAACTGCAGAGGACTTCAGTGGAAGTGTGAGATTCCAAATTAACTGCACTGACTTTCACTGTGGGAAGGAAACAGTCTCACCATAACACTGATGAGTAAAAGACATGGATCCACCGTTTTTAACAAGTTATGGTCCTGTTCACACTAGCTTTTTTCACTAAGTTACTTCTTATTTGTGCACTTTTCTTGGTTTAAACCAAAAGGTCAAYATGTATGAATGGGATTAGGRGTTGGAAGCCATAAATGCAAAGTGAAACTCCCATTGACATCCATGGTGAGGGAACAGGCTCTGTGGGGCTGGTTCACTCCATTGTCAGTCAAAAGCTCCACCTTGCAATTAGCATTGTTTTTGAACAGCCTCACTGGTCAATGCCAGTTTGATATGTTTTGTCTTGATATTTTTACTAGAGCAATTATTTCAATTCAATATATTTCTTCAAAATACAGTTTTATGGAAACTAGAATGCTTTGTGGAGGAATCGTTTCTGCTAAAATTAATTTCTTCCAGAAAAGCTTGTAACTGTCAGGCTCTATGGCACCCCGATTCCAAAACCAGAGAATGATAAAGTAAATATGTGGAGCAAATGACTGGAAAATGGATGTTTTCTGTAGCATAACATTGTGTTGAAAGATGGTACCTTTAATCCTGCGAAGAGCAGAAAATAAATACATTTAAACTGTGGCAGGAAACCATCATCCTCTGGCCAAGACTAATTCTTAAAGCTGAGAACAGTGAACTGAGATGCCTCAAATAATATGGSATGGCTTTTATATTAAATCTCAGTAAGGATTAAGCAGCTGTGAACTCGTAAGACAAGCAGGACTGGCAGCCAGCCCCGGGATCCCCTCTTTCCCCAAGGCAGGTTTGACACATTTAGGTCAMTCTCCAGCCATTCCTGCAACACTGTCTTCACATTTAATATAAATCTTGTCAYTTAAACCCATTAATTCTCATCCTAGCCACCACCAACACGGAAAGTAGATTATTCCTTTCTTCCTTGCAGTGAGATTYTACTATTGAAGCCATCAGACAGGGAAAACAGTACCCAAAGAGTTCAGATAGATTTGCATACTGTACTTACTCATTAATTTGCAATATTTACATAGTTTAAAATGATAAAATTAATTGTTTMTTTTTATAAACAATGTTTTCTCATACAAGGCTTTAATTTCAGCAAAATACTGTTTGGTATTACTGGACATCCTGCGTAAACTCTCAAAAGCAGCATCCAAACATCAGATAYACAGATCCTGCATTGAGAAAAATATTTTATATACTTTGTCTCTATCATTAATATATGCAGTAAACACACACAAAAATTAATATTACATGAAATTCTCACCTTGCCTGCTTTGCATAGAAAGCTCTAAAAGACTTACGTTTTCCATCACACTCAAAAGAAATACATTCTCCTTCTAAACCTTTAGACATTAGCTTTGAAACTAAACTCAGTGACCTACCAAACGCCTGAAATTCAGACTTATTTTTTCTGACAGCTCTAGCTTTGCTGTCATGTGTCATCAGGGCTAGTAATTCACACAGAGATAGAAACAGATAAAGGCTGTAAGGTGGTGCTTGATTCCTTTCATTACTGTGATTGTGTAGTCATGACCGATTGGAACATTATGGGGAAGGGCTCTCAAGTTGTGTTTGCTCCATTTCTGCTTTGAGCACAAAGGGGTTGATTGAGTTAGCAAAGAACTCCGTGCAAACCACAGAATAAAAGCAGTTCCAAAAAGTTTCATCTGATGTAATAGCATTGGGRGGAAAAAACAGCTTCTGGAGGTAAGCCCTTAGAAAGCTAAACAAAAGCAAATTAATCAGCAAAATAAAAGTAGAGAAAGGCTGCTGAGCTTCAGCCTGAGGGACCCAACAGTGCCACTGAGCTCCAGTTAGAACATAAGAATGTATGAAATGAAATGAGAACRCTGTAGGTGATGGTGCTTCACAGTGAAGGAGATCAGACATCTAAAGAGATAACTGCAAAAAACCTGAAAAGGGCAAGAAGGTAGAGAGGGAGAGGGGTAGACACAGCTGTGAATGAGAGTGCAAGCACAGGAGAGCTCTGTGAGTGCAGAAGAAACTTCAGTTTAACCACAGACTCTCAGAGAGAAGATGAGCATCAGCAAAGGAGCACAAGAATGGGTTTAAGAACTCTGCTTTTTAAGAGTATTATTTATTGCAAGGGCACTGCTGTTCTGGRGGATTTATTTGCTTTTACCCACTCCCAGCTCGTTACCACCAAAATTTCCACACAAAGCCCAAAGGAAGCTACTGCAAAGGAGAGCAGCAAATGTGTCCTGCAGGTTTCTCCAATAATACAGAGAGTGAGGCACTCTCTCATGGCTTCCAGGGCCAGCTGACCACTCCTCACCCCCTTCCTGCCCACAGGCCACGCCAGCGGAGTCGTGGTGACCGTCCCCCAGAAGACAGTGAATGTCACCACAGGAGGGAAYGTGACCCTGCTCTGCACATACACGAGCTCTGGACTGCTGGGGAATTTTTTTATTCAGTGGAGTTTCTACAGTGCCAAAGAGAGCCAGCTGCACACCGTAAGATACTCGTTTATTATTATTATTATTATGGAATTATATTTAAGATATCCTTAAGTCCTCAAAGAGTCTTGTTATGTTGGATAGGGTTATCCTTAGCACAGACCAGGTAGTGTTAATGTTGCGACCCCAGAGAATAAGGGCTGGAGAGCAGTGAAATTTTGGGACAGATGAATGAATTATCTAGGCTCCTAGCTCCCACCGACACGCCTGAACGCCCTCACAAACTGTTGAAAAAGTACAAAAGCGATTCAGATGCTCAAACAACTTGCTCCAAGTCACACAGGAAGCGTGAAGCAAAGACCAGGTGTCCAAAAATCACACCCTGGACCAGCTCCCTTTTCTCTTGTCTGGCAGATATTTCCTGCCATTGTGAAGGCTGCTTTCCTGGTGAGACGCCCTTGCCTATGACAATGTGCTGTTCCCCATTAAAGGGTCAAACGAGAGCTCCTTGGCTCAGGCACTGCCTTTGGCAGCTCGGTGAGAGGTGCTGTGTGTGACACTGGACTGTGGACACAGAGTGGGCAGCAAGAGCACTGGCAGGACTCTGCAGTAAGCTGGCACAGCAGGGAATTTGCACAGCAAACTTGCATTGGTGTTTCACAGCATCCCATGGCTGACACTGTGGAGACAGAACAATTACAAATGCTCCCTGTCCTTCCTGAGACCCCGACAGGCTGCAGAGCCAAACAATTTCTTACTCTGGAGGTGTAATGAGACTGTGGTGGGGTAGGTGGGAGTGTCAGCAGAGATGGGACTGGGAAGGACACCAATACCACACAGGGACTTGTTCTAACCCTGCCTGAGCCTCTGTGGCTGTGGAGACCCTGCAGAGCAGCTTGGTCTGCCTGGAAGGAGTCAGGGACAGGAGGTGTGACTGCCTGTGTGCACTCACACTGCTGCCCAAACCTCAAGAACTGTCAATCTTCTGTTTTGGTGGGGAAATGAACCCATGAATTTCATTCCCAGCATAACACGTAGGGCATGGGCTCCCACCAGCTCAGCCCTGACCGGTGCTGAGCAGCCAGAACACCTTCCTTCATAAGAAGAAATCTTGATTAGAAGTGTCTCTGAATCATTGAAGACAACTGGGATTCCTTTTCCATGTCAGGCTTATGCTCATGAGACAATCATTTCCCATGTTTTTATCCCGTTGCCAACATTTTTTCTCCTAAAAGTTCAATTCTCCAGCCTGGTGTTACAGCTGAGAGTGGATGGAAGGAGATTTGACTTAGAGGAGTGTCACAGTCCATACTGAGGATATTCTGTCATGTCACAAGTCTCCTAATAATATTACAATAGGAGGTTTTCATTGTTGACAGAGCTGTACCTTCTATCTGGTTTATCAATTACAGCAGGATTAGACTGTAATTTTCAGAATGTGCAAGTTGTAATGTATTGGGCATTGAACAATGACAGCCATTATGTGAGAAATGGCAATTAAACCCAAAATAGGACTGCTCACTCTCCTGCAGTCTCACAGCCACAGTTAAAGCCTGTATTAGTGCTAAGCACAAACTCTGGGCCCATCCCAAATTCTGAATCCAGCTGAATGCCAGACTGATGTGTGCACACCTTGCCTGATCAACTGTGTGAGCAGTAGTTACTCATTATTTGCTTTCCCTGAGCTAAAACGATTTTATTAAAAGAAGAATTATTCATGAAAAGGTGGTAGCTACAAGTTTCCTAATGTGTACATGGTACAATATATTACAATTTTGATCCAGTATGTTACATCTTAAATTTTAATCACTTGTTCAGGTGGGAAATACAGYACTGACATAGGATCAAGCTCATCTTCTCCAGGTTTGCTGAGAATCTTTCTGTTCTACTTGCATTAAATTTTCCATATTGTAACACACTAAATGCCATAAGTTTTTCTGGTCACAATCAAGAGAAATAAGCAGATTGTAGTTACAAGTATTTTAGAGGGAGAATCATACAATTTCAAGAGATCCAGGAGGGGAAAACCATTTGTAAACTATGACTAATGATGAGAAAAATACCCCCTGAGAATTATAATCATAAAATACTGTGGGTGGTTCAGAATCTGCTCAACAAGAACTAACTGATGCCAGACTACCAAATGTCAGGGAAATCTTATGGATCAACCCCTCCCAGTTTTTGCAGCTTTCACTGCAGGCAATGGGAAAGCTGTGCCTATAAGGTCTGTAAGAAACACTACTGGGAAAAATTGCAGCTGGATTTCCCCATCTGAAACTAATTTCACGGTAAATTCCCTTTCCCACCGCAACACATTTATAATGGCTGCATTTGTGATGGATGATTTGCATTTTCATTACATAAAGTCAGTTCAGTCTGGAAAGGCCATGGGTTAGTGCTAATCCCGTTCTCCTTGAGCACCAAGGCAGAGTCTCCTCTCACTGCAGCTCCATTCCCTGGGATGCCTGGGGAGGTTCCAAGGGCTCCCTTTGCTCCCTGGAGCCTGATGATGTCCCTGGAGGCTGCAGGACTGGGGCACTGCTCTTTTTAAAATGCTTTTTTTTTAAAAAAAACACATTCAGTCTTGTATTACTTGACCCTGTATTCTTTTACCACCACATGGCAATTCCTTACCGTTTTGAACCTATTCACAATAAAATTAATGGTGTTGATGCAAACACTGGGAACAAATGTGATTGCTGGTGGAAAATATGGTTTAAGAAATCACACAACACAGCTKAACAAAAAGTTGGATTTTCACCCTCCCTCTGAATGAGGTTGGTATTTCTATTTCAGGCTGGTGACTCTTCTGAGTTTCAGAAAGGACTGGGAGCCTGAAAGCCCACRTTTTTCTCCTACAAGTTTAAACAAATATATAATCTCTCTACAAACTCAGCCAAGTTTGCCCTGGTGGCTTGGCACATAGCTGATTAAAGCTCAAATTTTGTTCCAAGTAGGAAACATATGGATGGTACTGGAGGAGATTGCCAGCTTTGGCTTTCATTGTTTAGGTAAAACAATACTAATATGCAATTCAAAAATATATTGACTATGCCASTAAGATGACAAACCCAACTATTTTGGAAATAATGGCACAATATCTCACTGAATACCAGAACAATAGCTTGCATTTCAAGTGGAACAAAAGTATTTAATTTTATGAGTTATTTAGATTCTTCTAACAGGTCCATAATAAAAAACTCAAAACACATCCTTATAAATAGCATATATATAAGCATAAAAATCATGGAAAATAGGATGCCATACATATTTTTAACCTTTTCTTCTTTCCATTTAGCCCTTTAATRCTAAATGGAAGTTTTAAATAATAACTACCAGCCAAGGATCTTGAGAACTTTCCAATACTGAACAATCTCTATTTTACCTCTCGACAAACTGAGGCTAACACTATTTATTCAGCTCACTGAGGTACATGGCCTGGTTCATAAGGTAAAGTCTCAGCTCCTGCTAAGACCTACATCTGTGCTTCATTTCATGCTCTGAGTCACTCAGCCGGCCCCAGTTAAAGCACCTAAGTAAATGTTTGAAAGCTGAAACCTCTGTTGACTCTGCACAGGYGAGGCTGCAGCCTTGAAAGCCAAATACAACTGCAGAAGCTAACCAGGGCCACACCTTGAGCCTCCAGCCCAGGCCACCCACAGCTAAAGCCAGAGAAATGCTCAGGGACACTGCCTGGATAACCAAGGTGTGCCCAGGGCAGGATTCTCAATTGAAATTTTAAATTCTCTATATGAGTAAAAGTCATGGATACCTGATACTTGTAAGCAAAACAGAATTATTGATGGATTTCTTATTAAAACTAAAAAGCTCTTACAAAAAAGCAAGTTTGTGGCACGTTGTTCAGCAGGGAAAGTCCAAAGGAGGAAAGAGGCAAGAAAGGCGACCTGAGCACAGATGTATCAGCTCCTTCCACCCTGACACCCCAAATTCAGATTATCAGCAGTCCCAATGCCAGCACAAAGCAAGGCACAGCCTTGAGCACTGGGCTACCCCATATGAGAGCCAGAGACCAGCCAGCCCTGTGTGTGGGGGTTTCATAAAAACASCTTCATGGAGTGGAGAGGCAACACCTCCCCTGCAGGGGAATGGAGATGCTGCTGTCATCTCTCTGCAGATGGAGTGACCCTGGATGTCAGTGGGGCTATGGAGGATTGCCTGTGATTATCCCAAAGGAAACTGCACACGAGTAGGAAACAATCAGGATGTAACTGGGGTGTTTGCAGCAAACATCAGATTTCAATTCTCTGTTTGCCTAATTTTGGGTAAAGTTTAGGAATAAGATTCTGTTGGATCTCATAGTTGACAAGGCCTGAGATACTTTCTGCACAACTCACTGAACATGAGGCACCTTGCCCTTGTGATCAGCATGGATGGTAGGTGGGGAGCTGTGTGGAGAGGTGGCTCTTTGATTTTGGGGGAACATTTAAAGTCTCATTTAACTCTCAGATCAGCACATTTTTACTCAAATACAGCACTCCCCATGTCACGGTATTCTGAGTATGGATGAAAAGTCAGTCAGTCTTTGTCAAAAGACGGTGTATGTGACAGATGCACGGGGAAGATGTAGCTGGAGATACAAGGTAAGAAAACAATCCCCATAATCTTGAGGGGGAGAAAGAGCTAAACAGCTTCTACTAGATCTGTGCTATTGTGAAACCTGCACTCATAATCTGCATTGAAATCTCAAARTGAGCACATGACTGAAATAAGTTGAATTGGATGCATCGTTCAGAATTTTTARGTCACCCTATTTTTTAATGCATTTTTCTCTATCAAAATTATTTTGGATGTGGTTGTTGTGTTGGGTTTTGTTTTCCCCCAGTTATTCTAGGTGGCTGAACTGGCAGCTTCAGGAATATTCTACCCAATGGGTATCTGAAGGGTGTGTGCACCCACCAGGAGCCTCTGGGCTGAATGTGAGCACGACTGGATTGCCCAAACTTGGGGCAACATATTTACATAGGACAAAAAATCATCCTGGATGTCCTTTCTAGAATACAAAAACATTTTGAGATGGGATGGATACCGAGGGCACTGAGCTGAACTGGCTTCCTCTCAGCTGTGTGCTCAGTGTTCCAGCCATAATCCATTCCAAACCCTCTCTGACTGCAGCAGGATTCCTGTCTCACCTGAAGTACAGGGTACAGCCCAGTCCAAACTGAGGTCTAATAATAACTGCTCAAGAGTTACACCAAATGCTCTAAGAAAACACCTTTGTGCTTGGTGCACTGTAGGAGTGATTCACTAATAGTTCAGCCACGAGAGTGATCTGAGAACACCAAAAAGCTGCTCCTCCARTGTGTTTGCACCAGTTAAAGCTGCTGAATGATTAATCCTCTAAAGGCTTCTGGCTCCTTCCCTTTCTTCTTCTACCAATGCACTGCTGTGACAAGACATTTCTAGTCATTGTTAATATCCTCGATTCCCCATGCAAAAGTCCCAGTAAGGCAGGACATAATATCCCTACCTTCTGGCAGATCAGAGTTTTGACTAAAATGTGTGAAAACAAGCTATGGATGAAATAAGGCATTTGGGCCCAAACTCAGTCATGTGACATGTCAAGGAAACCAACACATGTGTGAGCATTTGCTTTCTTAGCTAGCAGAGTTCAGAATCTGAGCTTTGGGCCTTCATTAACACTCTGAGTGTGCAGCATTTTTTTTCTAATTAGATGGTTAGATGCTTAAGGGAGTGATGAACATTTTTTTCCCTTYGCTGTTATTTTATAAATTCTGTCTTTCCTCAGAATTCAACAAGAGATCACGATCTCAAACCAGCAAAGTTGTTAATAACCTCTGTTCTTTAGTAGCTTGAGAAAATGTCAAACAGCWAATGACAAACCACCCCAATGACAGRGCCCTCTGGGTGCTGGAGCTTTCCAGCTCCCCAGGCAAACACTGTGARTCACACATGGAATCCACCAGAAAAACGTCACCCAGCAGGATGCTACAGCTTTACATGTGCTGCTGGGGGAAGGAGAAGGGGCTGGGGGAGGAAAGACAGGTCCTGGAAAAGAGGTCATGTCCTGGAACTGCCCCCCAGTCAGGAAGTCAGGAGTTCTGTGGGGATTAGGCAGGACACTTTGTAATGAACCTTCAGGTACAATTCATAAGTTTGATATCCATAAGTACCAGGTGTGTGATGCAGTGATTCCAGGAGATGAGGCATGGGAGGAGTATTGACCTGGAAATTATGAATGAGTCCATCCAAAGTCATCTGAAAGACACAAATTTATGCAAATTCTTGTATATATTTGTCCTGTCCCAAGAAGAAGAGAAGCAGAGGGAAGCATGTTTCTTCTAATTTCCTGCCTGCTTCTTCACACACCCCCTTCACACCCTAAGGAAGATCTTTCTAAAGAAGCACAAAGAAAACCTGTGGGTGGGTTCCTCACACTCTGCCAGACATCTGGCAGCCTTTGAAAGTCCTCAACTCAGCATCAGCTCTGCCAACTGCTTCCTCTGCAGGCAAATACTTTCAACACCATCACTCTAGGAGGAACTGCCTGTGGACATGCAGAGTAACCAGAGCTCTGCCTCAGAAAGCCTGGAAGGGTGGCTGGATGGAGACAGCAGCCCCAGGCACTGCCTGGCCCACAGGCTGAACAACCAAGCAAACTGCAACCCTTTCTAAGGTCAGGGAGATGTTTTCTGGGCAACTTGGGTGTTCAGAAATTGGCGTCTCAGATGATGAAGTTATTAGAGACAACAGTTTTAGGAATGATAAATGCTCCTTTTTCTGTCAGTTGTTTGATTAGTCATCCCAGGCAGCTGCTTCCATGAAATGTGAAAAGGCACCATTATATAATAACTTGCCTGAACAAACTAGCTGGTAAGGAAGAGCTGCAACCATTAATGCATCCTCAGTATTGTTTCTACTCTGTAAATAATCRATTTCACTGGAGCTGCTCATGATTTACTTGAGGACATAAAAAGCTTGTTTTTTGAAGRGGAGCATAGAGGTTTCTTTTGCATTTTTCTGCATTTAAGATGATGCACTTAAAGTATATTTACCATCTCAGATGAAAAAGGCTTCCAGAAAAAAAATCTACCATTGACTAAATATACAGTTTTCTCATTCTAGGTAAAATGGAAAGAAATGTCAATGAGATGTGTGTCTGCAGGAGGAAACATTAGCTCTCAATTGACCAAAACCAAAAAGTTTCACATATCTTCAACACAAAACAAGTTTTTTACCTTTGAATTGGAATAGAAACACTTTTGCAAAGATTTTCATTTCAGTTTTCTGAAAACCATGAGCCAGCTTTTCAAGGATAGCACAAAATCACTTTGGACAAGGGTTTAAAATACCCATTTTTAGTGTATTGTTCAAAATGGGCTATGAATTCACAGCCAATTAACTGAAACATATTCCTCTTAAATGAAATTTCCTGTGTACACAATCCAATCATACCTTTGGGACAAGATATACACTTAGTAATTAATCAGTACATTATTCAGCCTTTYTGGTGTTTACCACCTTCCTTCAGGCAATGAACTCCAGAGCCAGTGAGATAAGCATCAAACRGGGGAGAACAGAGAACAGGCAGGAGCCTGTTCAGCAGAGGARCTGAATGCATTGCCTGAGAATGTTTCATTGCCTTTATGTTCATGCTTGAAAAAAACTGACCAAGAAAGACTCTGTTTGAATCCATGAAGAGAAGAAATAGTCTCTGCTGTGTTGACACCTGCCTCAGATTTAACAGTGTACACAAAATATTTTCTCTGCATTCACTGAATCAGAAAGAGAGAGCACAGGGGATTAATTTTTCAGTTTATTGTACGGGGACTTAAGCACGTAATTCACCCTGACTCCAGGTCAAATGTACTGAGGAGCACTTGCTCCTCTGCAGTGTTTGCTGCCATGCCCTGACTGCATTTATGACTTGCAGCTCAATCCTATTCCCAGGAAGACGTGCTGTAGCTAAACAAGCATTCAGTGGACCCCTTCTGCTGCTCTTTACTCTCACATAAATCTCAGATCATTCTGAGGTAGATTGAGCGGAATTTAGGCCCTTTTTCCAACAATCAAGCCTTTAATAGGGTATGATGGGACTGCCACTCCTCTCATGCTGCAGCAGGACACATTACTTCATTTAAATCATGGCAGAGCCTAATTTCACATCAGTGCAAGGAGCTGATGGAAGCCCTCCCACTGCCCCACTGGTGCTGTTGATGGAGAGGGGATGGAATTCCAGCCCATCTCTGTTGAGAGCTATCTGGGCACATCAGCCTCAGAAAAGTCTGAAGTCACTGTTCTTGTAGCTTCAGACTCTGGCAAGAAACAGTGATAAACAAAAYTCTGCCATTGCTCACACTCAGATAAAATGAGACTAATGTGGCCAGTGTGCTTTTGTAATTCCAGGTAGACMACATTTTTGAAGAGCAATTTGTTTAAAACAAACTCCCTATTTTGAACACTCTYCATCCCTGGGGAATACAGTGAGTCCATCCAGACTCTGGTTTTGGAAGAGAGTTCCATCTCCTGACATTTGCAAAGCATGAAATCAGTTTAAAAAGTGTTGTTATTGCATACACACAATGGAAACTGGGTGTATCCATGTTCAGCAGATTTTCTAACCAGCTCTGTCACTGTGCTACCCCTGCACCTCTCATCTGCAACGCCAGCGTTCCATGCCTTGGGAATGCTCTGGTGTTCRGAGCCCTGCATCAATTGTACCTGGTGTTTGTAATCCTGGGGCAGGGAAAGATAAAACCTGGCTGAGGAGTGTGCAAAACTGCACCTGAGGTGTGGCCAAGCTGCAGTYCCCGAGCTGCTGGGGCTGTGCAGCCTGGGCTCTGACCTTCATTTCAAAGCCCTAGCCTTGCATAAACCAGCTGTGCTCTGACAGTTTTGGGGTGTACCTTGCCTTAAGCTAACAAAGGCTKCTAGATAACATTCCTTAAAGACTTCAGTCAACACCATATCAGGGTGGATAAATACAATTAAGAATAAATATTCTGCWTTCAAAATGCAATCAGTTGATCTGCAAAGTAAAGCAAATTATACTTCTTGCCTGGGGATCTGCAGTATCCCTAAAAGGCAGAGAACTTTGACCACAAGGAAATTTTGCTCTAATTGCATGTGTGATGATTCTGCTCTGTTCTTGTACTGCATTCTTATGGCTTTCAAATTTACTGCCAACAGATCAGGTGCCCTGTTTGCTTAGACCTTTGTCTTGTCAATTCCTTTCAGTTCTCTGTTTTCTCCTGCATTTGGAAAGCTCTGCAGCCACCCACTTTTTGCAATGACAGGCCCATCCTTGCCATAATCTTCTACTAAGCAGCTTATTAATGATATCACAAATTATCAGYGCTTCACTTAAAGCACTATTCACTGTGCATGACTTAGCATTTTTTCACAGAATTGTCATGTGATGGTCAATGGTCTCATCTTTGGTTTTGCAAATGCATCACTCTATGCTTGGAGCATCCACGAAGATCTAGCTACTGTCAATTACACAATTAAAAACACCATTTCTGAGAAGCTTGTCTTTAAAGAAGCTTTAGAAATACGTATTCCAATGTATTTCATTTCTGCTTTCTTGTGGGAGAAGGCAAGAAARGGGTTCATATTGCTTGGCTTTAATCAGAAATCAACTATATTCAGAGTATCAAACAAAGCAGCAAGAAGATCTTTTTATCAAACTAACATTGGTTCTTTATCACAGATCTATTATTATTCAGGAGGCCAGTCCTACTCCTATGGAGCATTTAAGAATAGGATAACAGCTTCAACAAATCCAGGGAATGCATCAATAACAATCTCCAACATGCAGCCCTCAGACACCGGTTCCTACACCTGTGAAGTTTTCAGCCCTCAGGGGGATGCTGGACAGAGTCAGAAATCTGTGATTGTCAATGTGCTGGGTGAGTGAGTGCCTTCCCTCTCTATGGCTTTTTGTTGTTTTCTCCCCCCTATTATGAAACACTGAATTCACGGCTCAAAATACGTAGGGCCAGAGGGAATAACAGGCTGTGGTAAACAAGGGCAGTGATGCAGAGGGAGCTCCCTGAGTCACTGCAGCAGCGTTTCCAAGGGCTCTGGAGGCAGGCAGAGCCTGGGTGCCCTCTAGCTTCCAGCACCAGTGACCTGCTCCCACTCCACTGCTGCTTTTGCCTGACCCACAGTCAAAYCTCATCCTCCCACCACCGGCCTCCAGTCGCTTTGTGCTCTCAGAAAGWTACCCCATGTAAGCAGATAAGAGGGTGGCTGGAATTATCCAACTTCACTCTATTTTTCATACTGAAAAACAAAAGTGATACTAGCTTTGATTAAAAGAAAACACCCTTTTAGCTGGGAGTGACAACTTCTCACTAAAATCATTACATGCAGCCCCAGCACAGACCAAAACATCACYGATTTTACCTAAAAGTGATCTCAGTGACTTGTGTAAATCTAGAGAGGGACAACAGCACAGCCCAAGAGTTCTGGCTCACACCAATTCCCAAACCTCTAGAAAATTAGAATGTGTTGGATGGCAGTAGTACAAAATCTGTTTTGTGTGGAAGAAAGCAATAGCTCAGCCATGAACAGGCAGGACAGAAAGGATGAAAAGCAGTGGAATGAGATACTTTACTTCCTAATAAGATAAAAGGTTGTACTAACCCTGTCTAATAATTCCTTTTATCTTGAGAATTCATACCTGGTCAGAGTGACAAATCACAGACATACAGCAACGTTATTCCAACCTCTCTTGCCTATCATTCAGGGATTAGAAAAAGATATATGTAAACTCATTTCCTGAAAAATCTAASTACTACTGATAATTCTCATCTAAAGTTCCCAAAATATGTATAAATCTTGGAGTTGAGTAAAGATTGAACTTTTCACATGAAAATCAAGAGAAGTAGATCACTTATGCACACAAACTTGGGCTGTGTTCGTTGCTGGTAGTATCCCTGACAGTGCTCTAAAGAACCACAAAAGCAYATCTGTAGGTAGGAAATGAAAAACAATGGGTGTAAGTGAAGACAGAACCTTCCCTTTTGTGCAAAGCAAGAACATTATATCAAAACAGATATATTTTTTAACAGAACTATGGTTTGTTTATTTCTTTCACAAATGTAATATACTGAAAGAATCAATCCTTGATGCTCCCCCTCTCTCTGGAAAAGCTCCTGCCATGTTCCTAAAGAAAATGATGCTGCTATGTGGCAGAATGGTGTATGGTGAACAGTGAGTGGCCCATTATAATGAAAATATTTGATAGTCTTTGTCTCAACACCTCCCTAATAACAGTATGCAAATGAAATATAATCAAACTGTGTCCTAGGCCATGTACATATATTTAATATTACTCAATTTTTTAATGGGAGGGGRTTTTGGTCAGTTCACAAGAGAAACTCTGCTCTTGGATGGAAATCTGTAGTGGGGTTCAGTTCTTTGCTCAGAGCAGCACGGTAGCAGAACTCGAGGTGGATGTTTGCAGCCTGGGTACACATTCAYCATGTGTCTGCTCTTATTTTACAGTCAAACCATCAAAACCCTTCTGCAAAGTAGAAGGAACACCTGAAAAAGGCCATCTGATCTACCTCCTGTGCAACAGTGAAGAGGGATTGCCTCGCCCCACCTACCGCTGGTACAAAGTCGATGAGAACACCCTCAAGCCTGTGACAGAACAATTCAGTACGTAACTACAGGACTGCCATGTATTATTRTTTTAAAAAATCCAAGTAAATGGATAACTGGTGAACCCCGTTTCTAATCTATGTATCACATTGGCTAATTAAAATTTCTCCTCCTCTTCCAATGGTCAATGTCACAGAATKGTATTTTTATTTATTCAAATCGATCAGCAGCTGTCAAAAACACAGGACTCTTTTTCTATTTAATAAAAAAATTTTGGAAGTCCTGTTGATGCCTTTAAATTGTTAAAATGGGAGCAGTATTTATGCCTTTACATCTCTGCKCTCTTGAAATTTTGAGTGAATTTGTGTCAATTTGTCATTCAATACTAGGACATCCTTGCATTCCAAAAATTTTCTGTACCTGTTACATTTTCATTTGTGGAGTTACACAGACAACCACAGCAGGTGAATAAAACATCATCCAGAGTGGTTGGCAGAGTAGGGGCTTCTAATACGCCCCCATAGAACCCTCTGGAGCAATTTTCCAGGAAGGTAAATGTTTTATAGCCAAAGAATATTAAAAACAAAAATCCAAGTAAGTGAATAATGGGTGAAGCCTGTTTCTAATGTCTGTGTCACTACAGAAAAGTGTTTGCCTCTGCAGAATACAAACAGTAACGTGTACCTGCTCCCTGTTTGCCACAGATCCAAACTCTGGCATCCTTTACATCAGCAACCTCAGCACCTTTGAAACGGGTTATTATCGGTGTGTGGCCAGCAACYTCCTGGGGAACAGCAGCTGTGAGCTGGACCTAACAGCAAAACGTAAGTGGAGTGCATGAAGGCATCACATCTTTGATGGAGGACATCCACAGCTTGCAGGAAAATGCTCTAACAACTTTGAAMCATTGATTTTTTTTTTTTTTCAAGTAAGACAAAACAGGATTTGGAGAGCTCTGGAGTTTCCATCCAGGCGTGCCCAGAATTTACACTGACTTAGCAAACTGATTTAATATCCCCACCTTAAATTCCTGCAAAGAGCAGGAGCTGAACCAGGTTCTGACTGCAGAGCCTTTACTGAGAATAGACAGACTTTGAGCAATTCCTTCCATCCAATAGTTCCACTGAGGTCTCCCCACCYCAGAAATTACAACCATCAYWGAAATRTGGTAGKACAAGGACWGGGRCACTCCAGATGTGACCACCAGCTGAAAGACAGAAATAAAGGCACCCCGGATTTCAGTGTTTGCAATGACTGAAAAGCAAAGGCTTTTACCTGCTGTCAGTGTTACAGTTCAATGTTTCCCTTAGCCAGGCATAAACACAGTGTTTTTATATACGATTATATACTTATTTATTATATCCTATTTATATACTTATTTTTGTTGGGATAGGGAGCTACCCAATGAGAARGGAGGCAGCAAAGATCACACAAGTACAGAGCTCCCATTTTCCWAGAGAATCTCTGGCCACCCTCCTGGAAAGAGCTCTTTGAATCCTATCCCTTCTTTCTGCTAAAGGSTCCTGCACTAAATTTCCAAGGGATTTTGCTATATTACTGCTTTTAAAAAATTCAAATAATCTTTTCTTTCCAGATTCAGATGGTGGTATTGTTGCTGGAGCATTGATTGGAGCAATTCTGGCAGCTGCTATAATTTGCATTATCGTCTGGGTCTTAACCAAGAAGGCAAAAAAAAGGAAATCACCAAATAATGAGATGCAGTAAGAATTTCTGTTTGCTTCATTTTGAAATAATTATTTCTGTAAAGCACTTCTGATAATTCAGAACTGAAGTAAAATGCAATTACTATAAACATTTTTCAAAGGGTAAATAATACAAGTTCTGAGAAAACTTTCAGAGTGAACATCTGCTCTGGGGGGACTTTTTACCTGTTGTTTTTGTAACAGAAGTTGCCATTGCCCTCTTCGCCATGTTGACAGGCAGTTATCACTTAGCAGCATCTAAAATAGTGAAGTAAATGTTTTTGAACAACACAAGCTGAAGTGGCAAGTTATAAAAACAGCTCTTTATATTTAAAGTTAATGGATCTGCATAGAGCAGGTGGAAGTAAAAAAGGAAAGAGCAGCTAAGGGCTGCCTCAGAAAATTTACAGGGATTTGAGCACAGAGGGCTCAGTACAGTATTATCTGAAATTACAGGACACACTCGGGATTCTCCAAGGCATCTCAAATTGCAGAAAACACAAGGTTTAGACAATAGAATGGGTCACAGAATGTCTGTGTGGATCCTGCTCTGGAGATCTGCTCTGTGCTTTGGTTGCTTATTTTTCCCTTAAATTGCCAAATCTTCAGAATAGGGATAATCTCATGCACTATATAGACTACATTTAGCCCTTGATGTTAAATGCTAAATAACTGCATGCAGCTGAGGCCAGGAAGAAACTGTGACTTCCCTATAGCACAGGCCTAAGTGTTCCTAATACAGAGTTCTGCTAACCCAGACCAGTGGACAGTCACTYATGCACCTGAATTCTGCTTTCAATGGATGTAGCATTGACATCTAATTTTGTACTCAGATCCTAATAAATCTTACAGTGTTGAATTAATCCACTAGCATCTGATATTTTTTACCATGTGAAAGTGCTTCAGTATTGGGATTTGGATTATTCTTGTTTTGATAAGATAAATGGAATTAATACCTGTTACTAAAAATATTTTTTTTAAATTTTTGTTGTTTCTAAAATATGAAATATATTTTAAAATATTTTTCTAGATTTCTGTCTTTTCACAATTCTTTTCTGACTGCACTCTATTTTTTATGCATTTCAATGGGACACCAGATCAGCAGGGAATTTCCCAGAAAGCTCACACCAAGCAGTGTGTTTTGCTGCCCCTCCTCAGACACTGTTTGTCAGCACTCAGTTTCACATTCTGCTTTCCTGGTGTAACATTTAAACACACTAAAATCTATTTTATTCTAATGGGATCACTTAAACCAGTGATGCAGATGTCTTATTTGCTAGTATGATGTCACTCTTTCTGTCTCAACACAATCTTAATAACAGGGGTTACTTTTCAGATAGCAAATATTGAGATTCATTCTTTTGAAAGACTCTAGTGTGTGAATAGGATTTCAACATGTGAAATCACAATCCTAATCCTGTCTTCCTGCAGAGAAATGGCTCAGAAACARCCCAATGCAGACTATGTTCAGGTACCCAATGAGGAAAACATTCCTGCRACCACAGTTCCATCGAGCAATGCAACAAATGAATACCCAAGTGTTGATGAAACAGCAGCTCCTGCAACATCTGACAATTATGAGAAGCAAGAAGCAGAAAAAGAAGAAATTGCCTAGAGTTTATTGAATAGAGTTTTCTYTGTCACCTTTGGACCCCTTTGTACAAAAATTGTTGTCATTGAATTAACATAGAAGTATGACTAAAACTTAAACAGGCATTTGTATTGTGAGCCACTGGGGTGGATTGAAAAGGGTCAGTCACACAGGCACTTTGTGAATAGCAGAAGATTTGGCCTTAAAAGTCAACCAGATTTCTTTTATTATCTAGTTATACTGTACAAAAAATTAAGTATAAAAAGAGTGTCATCCACATTTATCTAACATATTTTGCAAAACTGATCAGGAAATGGGCTGAAGCATTTGTCAAAGTAAGAGCTTTCCAGTCAAGTAYCAGTCATGCTGTGTACCCACACAGYTCAGAACCAATAGCAGTCTTCTCCAGAAACATTGTTGGCCAACCTGTTTCCTGTACACCAAGAAAATCATCGTGGCCAGTACATTGCAGTGTTTAAAGGAACTGATTTTGCACATCAGAAGTAAAAAGAAGTTGCATCAATGTCATCAGAATGCAGAAACAGATGCTGAGACCTGAGCCAATGAAACCTTGTGTGTCTGAATTCCACCTAAGCTTAAAAAAAAATCCTCAAAACTTTTACCCTGTTGCTGCCTGACATGGAATACATTCTGATAACAGTGACCTTCTTGGCTTAAAGTTCCTAAGGGCACCATCATTCCAGAGCTGTGTGTTCAGCAGTTCTGGTTTTGTTGGAATTGGCATTTGGGTACCCAGTTCAGACACCAAATGCCTGTTCTACACAACAGGAGCTGGAGATCTAAATCCCTTGCAAGGCTTGTTCCAGTAGGCACAGCATCAGATTCCTCAGGACACACAGACAGAGCTGCTTTCATAACTTAGGAGTGGTACTGCCTTCTATATAGCACACAAATTTCAATTACTTCCTCTGCCCAAGATGATTTAAGTCTATTTCCAGGCTAGTCCTACCCACTGAGCAACAAACTCATGCTACTTTTCTTGTGGTCTTTTATCCTGCTGTAACAATCTTCTATAAGTGAAAGCATCAAGAGGGGAGGTAAGTGGTGAAAGGCACACTGACAGGCAGCCATCAAGAAATGAGCACCCCCTTGGAAGGAGCAAAGGGAATTGAACCCCACATACCTGGGTTAATAGAGAGCCTTTCTCTCTGAGCCTCATCTCTAAGGTTACACAAACTCAGCTTTTCARAAAGGCTCTACTTTCAGAAGAGCTCAAGCACCAGGGGCTTAGGCAAATACAGACCCACAGCCTGAGCAGCTCCTTCTGAGCTGCCTGAGGCAGGTCCTYGCTGACACAGGCAGACAGTGGCTTCAGTCTCAAGCACTGAACACAAACATTTCTGGCTCAGGGAGCTGGAGCTTTTTGGCTCTTAAGTCTTTCGGAGCATCTAATATTCATAAATCCTTTGATGACTGTTCCTAGACTGCAAACATTAGTTACATACAACATTCAAGATTTCTGGGTTAAAATTTTCAGGTTCAGATCCTACAGCTCTAAGTATGTTCATCAAGATAGTGAGCTTAAAAAAAAAAAAAAAAAAAAAAAAAAAAAAAAAAAAAAAAAAAAAAGAGAGAGAGAAAAGTAAATGGCAGCATTTAAGGATGTAAGGCACAAGATCCTAGTTCAGGTTTATTTTGGATCTTCAAGCATAGCTGTATTAGCTGCATTTTCCTTGCAATTTTCTGAGTTCCAAATACTTTTCTTTGATAGGTGTGTCCTAGTGTTTAGCTTCATTTCAGAGTAGAATATTTATGCCATTCTTCTAACATTATTTTAGCTAAAAACTGTGCCAGACTRTGAGGGTCTAATCCTTGCTAATGCCAACACTGCCATGTTTTACCAGTGGATCCTTGGACTCCCCTCTCCCCAAAACATCCAGAACAAGCCTCAAATCAGGATCTGTACAGAAGTCTCCCAAATCAGGCTGCTTTTATGGACTCTTGTGGCAACTGTGCCAGGCAAAATTAGTAACCCCCATCCTTCATTCCAGGTTGAGCAACTTACTGAAAAAGTCTGATATTGACAGCCAAGTTGTATAAACCTGCAGGATGATACATTAAACACACTCAGAAGCAGCAGGAGAGCAGAGACCTGATGCTCTTTGGGTGCTATTTCTTACTGAAGGTGCTTCCTAATGATATTACTCAAACCAATTACTGGTCCAAGGGAGCCCCTAATTTGGCTGAYAGCAGCAATAATTTAATTTATCTGACATTCCTAAGCATTATTTTACTCTTGCCCTYTATGGGAAATTATAAATATCTTCATGTCCCTGTTATGGCTATATTTGTTATTCTAAAGCCATCCCCTGCACATAAGCGTTCTAGTCACATTTTTCTTATTGCTACACCTTTCCAACTTCCACATCTCTGCAACAGCACTATTGTGATYGAAGAGGGACTCTATTAGGTGGTCATATTTCTTTTAATCTTTCCTTAATCTCACCTCCACATATTTATCTGCTGGTATTCCTTATCTAACTTGCTACAAAAGATAGCAGCTTATGTTTGTGATGTTTRTCAGTACCTTCCATAGCTAATAGAGTGCACCTAGAACACCACAGGTTTTACATTTGTCCAAAAAGCAGAAATTGCTCAAGTTATGTTAAAACTTTTTATATTAAAAAAAGGAACCATGTTCTTGACTAATGATTCCTCTCCTAATGATTCTAACTACCAGTGTGTAATAGATGGTAGTAAARAGGCAAAAATAAGAAGCCTAACAGGCTGCTGGGAGTAAGGAGGTAAGGAAAATAAGATGTATTTGGAGTTTCTTACCATAGAGACATGTTTTCTGTAAGCTTTCTGGCAGATTCTCATTATGGAGTTTCTAAAGTTTATTTAAAAGGATGGGGCACCGTTCCTAGCTTCCCACTGACGCTCTTAGCAAAGTACAAGTCAAATTAAGTATTGATCTACAGTGTGCAGTTGTAACCTGCAGAGCTATGCAGAAATATTGTTCAGAATTTGCTTTAGATGTTAAAACAGTCTTTGCTGCATGGCCCATTTATCTTCCCCTAGGGAGTAGGGATCATTAATATGGGCACCAGATATTAAGCCAACRTTCAAGCCATCTCTYAAGGAAGTGGMTTYACAAAGCTRCAGAGCTGTGGCAGGGGTTTTTGCTATATAAAGATCAAGAATGAACACAGAACTCTCAGCTTTAGCTGATCTCAAATCAAATTTTYAGCAGTGCCTGTGCAATACATAAGAAACATTTACTCAGGTCCCTCCTTCAATCAAGGTCTGCATGGCCAGAGTTTACTGYACAGGCAAGCTATCCCTTCTGCTCTTAATGAGTCCCCTCAGTGAAATTTAACCTGCATTTTGTGTTCTARGATACATTTAAAGTCCTTGGTGAAGGTATTCGTTTGGTTCTAAGTTTCTGCCTTGCTTATCAAAATAAATTGCATGACCTTAATCCCTACAAGTCAAACTGTAGAAACTGTCAGCTTGCATTTCCCCCTTTCCTTGAGGCTGAAGATCAAACATGTTGCATTTCCATGTCGTGTAAGGGACGGCAGGGTTTCATCCCACTTGCTGTTCACATCCCAAGTATACAAGCTATTTAGAAAATACTGGGTTTGTTACRTGTAAGTTTAATAAAGTTTTGTAATACCAAAGACTGTTGTTTAGGAAAGTTCTTTATTTCACAGAATTTCATCAGTATCCTATATTCAAGGGGAAATCTMTCCACTGGTGTCAAAAATGATCTTACCAACAAAAGGACAGGAGGTCATTTTTCAGACTCTGCCTWAATAGCTCAGCTATTGTAATAACTTAATATCAGGATTTGCTGTCAGTAAATAAAAATTAAACCAGGCTTCTGTTAGAAAATGAGATGGTAAACTAGAAGTGTCAGTGCTGCATATGGGAGTCAAGAGAACAGAAAAAAAGGAACCTATAAAAGGAGCAAGAGGAAGAAACGTTAAATTTTAAGTACATCCCACAGAAGTATCCAGAGCCATCCATTATAAAACAGTGTATTTGCAGAGGTAACCCTGAAGCTGTGCACTTCATCAAATACATATATTTAAAGACTCAGAGAAAAACAGGAAAACAGTCAGTAACAACAGAAAAGCTTTAAATACTTAGATCTCACTTAATACACCAAGAATAGCAGAAATTGATACAATAATCTAAGGAACTCATCAAACTGCACTCTACACAGGAAGATACAGTGTAGTTTAGAATCATCTGAAGAAAGACACAAAACCCAAACAAAACCACACACACAAAACACAAAGGCTAAGGGAAAAAATAAACACTCTAGAATAAAATAAAAATTGGCTTTAAATGGTTAAAACATTTTTGGTCCTGTTTCTTGGAAGAAGTAATTCTACACTGGGATCTGAAATAGAAGGAATACAACATTTATACACATCACACTGTAAATTGAAAGAAAAATGCATGATATTGAAAAATACTTTAAAATCAGTGAACTATTTAATTAACAGGAGTACAAAGAGTTGTTTTGGCACTGCACTTGAAGGACAGCTTCAAAAAAAACATTTTATTACCATGCTAATACCCACACACGACACCCTAGTTGAACTATCCAAATATGAAGTTTGCAGTCTTAAATAGATTTAAGTGCAACAGGAGAGAGGCTCCAGTGGGAACCCCCTCTAGCCTTCCACCATTCTTTTAAGGATGGCTCCCAGGCCACCCTTTGCCACTTTCAGTGGGGTCAGCTCTTCTTTATTCTCAATGTGAATACTTGCACCGTGAGACACCAGCAGCTTTGCCTCCTCCACTCTCTCTTCATCGCAGGCTAAATGACTGCAGCGAGAACAAGAAACCACAGCCACTGTTAAACAGCCCAAATTTACACAGAGCAATAATTATGTCATGTCAAAATGACAGCGTGAGTGTTGGGGGGAGATACATCTGAGAACAACAAATCCACAAGCAGCCAACTACCTAGACAGATTCCAAAGCTTGCTGTCCAGTCCCTCTGCTGTCATTAAGCAACTCAAGAACATTCCTCCTGCTGCTGTCCTTGCAATGTTAAGACTGTTCTTTGGGTTAGGTTTTGRCTCTGCAGTCAGCAAAGCTAAAGAGAACATAATCCATGGTGAGAATGGAAACTGGCAATCTCTATTAAATTGAAAGTGATATATAAATTGTCCGATGGTAAAAAATAATCTAAAGTAAAGAGTTACTGCAAATGCAGCAAATATTCTTTTTCCATTTGGCACAGGGTGCTGAGAAGAATTGTGTRCATTCCAGGGCCATACTGGGGGTTTATGTACAGCTAAAACATACTGCTTGACCTTTTTCACAGCAAAATCTAGATTCCACTGTGGTTTTGCCATGCAGTTCAARGCAGCTGCAACCCTGACAGATTGMAATTGATCTCTAACGTAACAACAAACACTGGGCTTATTGTACTTCAATTGCAACTTATTTTCCTTAGAGAAGTGAAGAAAAGCTTCTRAAATGAGTTCTTGCTTGGCAGGACAGAGTAGACCAGCCTGCAGGACCAGTTTCCTATGACTCTGATGTCATTAATTCACTTTCTACCCTCTAGCAGCRACCAATGTATTCCAGATTATTACAAAAGGTGTTCTCCTTTTGTGTTACACAAAAGGKGTAACACATATTAAAGTATACATGTACAGACACATGTAAGCAAAATACTAAGCATGACTTTCTGAAATACTTTTTAATTGCACAGCGATGTGAAGTAAGAGAGTAGTCTGAGGCAATGAGAAATTTTAAAAAAAGACATTGAAATAACRGAGTTTCAATTCACAGAGATTATGCTATATTAAGCAAAATTAAAATCAAAAGTTACTTACAGAGGAGTATTCCCTTCAGAGTCCCGTATATCCAGAGCTGCATTGTGCTGCACAAGGATCTGTACCATTTTTAGGTTTCCTTTGGCTGCTGCTCTGTGTAACGGGGTGGATTCAAAGTGATCTGTTGCATCTGGATTTGCTCCATTCTCCAAAAGCATGATCGCAATCTGAGTACATAGAAAGAGAAAGGAGCGGGGGAGGAGGATGTGGATATTAATATCTTCTGTAAATCCTTCCTCCAAGAGCATCACCAGCTCTAGTAGCTTAGGTAAACATACCTCCTGCTTATTTTTGGAGGCTGCATAATGCAGGGGCGTGCAGCCATTCTGATTGACAGCGTTTACATGAGCACCCTTAGCAATGAGGGCTTTCACAATTTCATCACGGCCTGCAGAAGCAGCAATGTGTAAGGGAGTCCAGCCAGCCTACAGAGGMAAGAAGAAATCCACATTATTCAAACCATGAGTTTCAGGCAGAAAAATGTAACAAGGCATAACCCAAACAGACTTGRGTACTCGCACTTTGCACATTCTTACAAGTGTAAAGCTAAACATTATTGATTTTTACTAGAGACAAGGCTCRTRTCTTCTCACATGTACTGAATGACTCAGGCATTCAGTATCTGACAAAAGCTGCCAGTTAAATGACAGAAATCACTTCTGCTCTGCAGTTATACATGGTATCTTTGCAGAACACTTTGTCCCTGCAGAATTCACACTAGTGCATTTTTAGGAAAATATAGAAGCAGTAGAAAAGATTGTTAAAAAAATTCTGCAACCTTTTTTATATCCTATCCTCTAAACTCATGAGACATTTCCTTCTTTAAGGATGRTATTTAGGATGCTTTGCAATGGATGTATTTATTTCAACCCCTCCTCTAGAACAGCAGCAGGCCATCTCCTTGCGAAGTGTGAAATCACTGAATCTGCAAAATTTATTAATGCCTTCCCCAGCATGAGGAATCTTCAGGGTACTTTATGAGTTGGCACAATGCATTTGAGAGATCACACTGAGATAAAGGCAACATGAGAACCCCAACAACCACCCAAACACCCCTGGTTTTGCAGCTTCCTTCGTAAGAAGAGTTCTCCTACAATTCCTGGACAATAAGCAGGACTCAAGTCTCCACGCCTATTTCCATGAAACACTTCACCGTGGCTTCCCAGCGCACACAGAGCAGCCTGGGCTTTCCCAAGTGCCACAGACCACGCTGGGCACACCAGCCGATGGGAGGACGGGGAGGGAGGAAGGGAGCAGCGCCAATGGCTCGGGAATTGCCCCCGGCCGCTGTCAGGGCCCCTCTGCGGCTGAAGCCATGGGCCCAGCAGCACCCTGCACCCGGACTGCCCCCAGCGAGGCACGGCCGCGGCACTCACATCGTCCTTATCGTTCACAGGCACGCCGAGCCCGAGCAGGAGGTCTGCGACATCCGTGTGTCCCGCCGAGCAGGCCCAGTGCAGCGCGGTGCGGTGATCCTGCGGGAGGGAAGCGGTGAGCGGGGCAGGGAACGGGAGCGGCTGCAGGAGCCGCGCCGCGGGGAGCCGCCCCCAGGGCCCGCAGCCGGCTGACCTGGTCGGCCCGCGTGGCCTGGCTCCTGTCGCGGAGCAGCAGCGCCCGCAGCTCCTCGAGGCGSCCCGCGAACGCCAGGTTACACACGGCCACGTCCGACACCGAGCCCTCCATGCTGCCCCCGCGCCCCCCCACTGTGGGCGGGGCCAAACCCGCACGCCGCCAATCAGGAGGGCGCAGGGGCCCAGGCCAGCCAATCGTGCCCGCCGCCTGCTCCGCTCACCGCTCGGGCCGCGGGGGCTGCTGGGGTTTGTAGTCCTGGAGACCAGGGGGCGGCGCGCTGCCGGCGGGCGGCGGGACTGCAGCTCCCAGGGCGCCCCGCGGCGCGGCCGTGTTGTGCCTCCGTGTCGGGGCGAGGAGGAGGAGGATGGTGACAGCGGGAGGATGGAGGCCGGTGAGGGGCGCGGGGCGCGGGCACGGCTGGCGGGGCGGCGCTCAGGGGCCAGGCCGGGGCTCCGGGGCTCGGGCGGGACCGCCGGCGGCGAGAGGCGCCCGCGGCCTGAGGGGCGAGGGGGGGCAGCGCGGGGCCATCTGCCCTGAGGGGCTCCCCTGGCGCGGGGGTCCCGCGGCCTCTCCGGGGGCCGGGGCTGGGGGCTCGTGTGGGGCCCGGGCGCGGGGGGGCTCGGCCGGGACGCGGGGCGGMCGGAGCCGGGGGACGGAGCCGGGTCTGCCAGCTCGGCCCCGAGAGGCGCCTCAGATCGCCGGGGAGCGCTCTGTGATCGCGGGAAGGGAAAAGAGACCCTGACGGTGCCTTCTCGGGTGGTCCGAGGTGTCGTAGGGAGCAGGGGCGAGAGAGGCGGCCAAGGGGGGCACAGGTGTCTCCGGTTGGGTTTCGGGGGGCGAGAGTGTCTTTAAGTCTTTGGACCCAAAATTAGATAATTTGCTCTCCAAGTGCAATGGCTTTTCTGACGGAAAAGGCAGAGCACAGTGCGAGAAGTTGTTTTGCTGAGCTGACAGCGACAGAGGAGTCTGTCGTAGTGTTTAACCATTGCCTGCAGGGAAGGTGAATTTTGGGGCTCGGCAGTGCTGGCCTCGGTGCTCCAGCCAGAGGGTGGTGCAGCTCTCTTTTCATTGCTGGAATGTATATAATGGAATATTATCTTTTTGTATATATTTATAATGAAATATTAWTTTTTTGTATATATTTACCTTCTGRTTATTCACCCTTTRTACTGGATATATGTGCACTTACTTGAAAAGTAGGATAAATTGTTTGCTTTCACTTTTAGCTTCTGATTTTTTAGCAGTATGTTTCCTTTAGATTGTTGTCAAAAATAAATGATTTTACATTAATTTTTACACTCRAAGGGTTGTTTCACTCTCCCAAAAAGCACCATTTTAATGGTCTGGAAAGTGTTTGGACTTAAGAGTAATTGTCATTTGTTACTTTTCACTAGATACATGTAGTATTGAATAATTGCATTAATACATCTATTTATTTCCTGAAGTGTTTCAAATCTCCAGTTGGGAAAGTAAAGCTCAGTCTTGCTAACACTTTTCACATGCTTCCCATTAAGCATGAGGCTGTAATCACTCTGMTTTGTACTTTTTGTACATTTCAGATCAAACCCCGGTGCCTACATTTTTTTTTTYCCTTTCCTCATTATCTTGAATCAAATCTCATCTTCACTGCAGTCATCCTGAACTTCTGTCACCAGCTTCAGTCAGACTGCTTATAATGAAGGTGTTATTCCTGGTGTTCTGTGAGCTCTCAATGAGGATCTAAATGAAAACCAAGGCATTGGATATTTCAGTGTCAGAACAGTTTTTAAGGGAGAAAATTAAACGCAGTGGTCAGAATCCCCAAAGGCTATAAGGACTTGTTACAATTCATTCAGTCTGAGAGCTCCAAGTTGTGCATAAAAGATCAAGGGGATAAAATGGAGTTTGATTTTTGTGTATTCCTGTTCAGTTTTATCTAGGTATGAAAACCAGATCACTATTTTGTCAGACTACTTAGAAGAATTTCCAGAAACTGATGAGCCAGTGTGGATTTTAGGAAGGCAACACCAACTAAACACAGGTATCTTTAGAATTAAATTATCTGTAGAATATTCATAGATTGACACACAGCAACAGCTGTTTTCCTTATGTTCCCTAAATGTCTCATGAGGGAAGTTTGTTCTCCTTCATTARCAGTGGAACCCTCCTGTACAGAAACCAGAACCAAAGCCTCCAGATGTAATTCATGCAATGTGATCACTCGTAGCAAAGGCTGTCAGACATGAGCCTGGTCACTTCCCACCATCAACTGCCTCAGAAATAAATAAAAAACTTTTGGGAAATGTTCAGCATTACTAATGTCATTTTCCCATGAGGAATGCTGTCTGCAACCTGTTACTTGCAACTAAAATGATATTTCAAAATAATAATAAAAAATTAATCTATGGCATGTATTGTATTTTGGTAAAAATAAATTCATGATCTAATTAAATTTAATGTTATTAAACTTTTCTTAAAATTACTTTCTATTGGGTTTGGAGGTAATGAATTATTCCATGTTAGTTCGTATGTAAAAATTCTTAACCTGCTTTACCAGTTCTTTCCTGAGGACATAGTTCACCAGAGCTGTTTTTTTCAGGCTGGGCATAGTCATTCCAAGCACCTTGTAAAACTTCATTGGCTAATAACTATTTCATCCTTAATAAGTTAACTTTAATTAGCAGTCTGCAAAAGCTCCCTGTATTTCAAGTGCTGAAGGTGTTTTAAGTATTAAGGGTCTTGTRTGCAAAAGCTAGCAGGAGCCTTCCATGTATTCTGCATATTGACTGTACAGGGATAAATGGAATTTTTCAGTTTTAAAAGTCTGTTTTAATAATTTCTTTCCTCTTAAAATCATTCCAGACAAATCTAAGTTATTGTTGGATATAAGCGCTCGTCTCTGGTTTACGTATAGAAGAAAGTTTTCCCCTATTGGTGAGTATGCAGCATTTCAGGTGCCTGGTTATGGATTAGCAGGATTAGTGATGATGTTGGGGACTGAAAARTTATTTTTACAGTATTAGAACATTTTGAGCATAATTTTAACTGTTTCTATAAACAGATTGAAGCTATTAAAATAATTTTGCTGGTACCTGCATATAATCAGGTCTTCATGCCTGTGGGGCAAGCAGTGAGGTCACTGCAGCACTGTGGAGAGAGACAAGCTTGCTCAGTGCCTTTAATCCACAGACAGCTGTTAGAGGTTTAACTGAGAGGTTTTCTCAGAGGCTGGGCCCGTGCTGACTGTGAGCAATTCTGTTACCAGGAGGCACCGGTCCCTCATCCGACGCAGGCTGGGGATGCATGCTGAGGTGTGGGCAGATGATGCTGGCCCAGGCACTGATCTGCAGACATTTAGGAAGAGGTGAGTACTGTTGCTGAGGCAAGTTTTGTKTTATTTGGGGACTGTTTAATTTTTGTTGTAGTTTTCCATAAAAGCATAAAACCTAAATTTATTAATGAAACTTTCTGTGATGTCCTGATAAAGTTACTAGTGAGTATTTTTGTAAAATCATGTCAGCCTTAAGCAGAGAAACAAAAATAGAGGAAGAAMAAATAGGGAATTCCACTGTTGTTATTTTATAAATCTTTTTGAGGAATACCCAAATTGAAGCCAAGGGAAAACCTGCTACCATGGGTCCGAGTTCTTCCCCTCTTTTCATTACATGGCAGCCAAAATGCTGGCCCAGGGTGAAGTTGTGAGTAGTGGCAGAGTGATAAGACTCCACACGGTGTACTTCACAAACCACTCACCCATCATCAGCCTGAGTCCAAACCCCACAACAGACCCCCCTAGTGCCTGCTCTTAATCCTGTATTAACACTCCACATCCCAGGGTCATGGGTGAGTGTCAGGTCTGCTCTGTGTGCCACTCTTCTGTCAGTTAACTTACTGTGCTTGGATCTGTGATCCTTATGCTCTTTTGTCATGGTTTCCATGGCAGCATGATTTGTGGATTTACCACTTGAATAACTGAATCCACAGAAGGATTTATCCACCTCAATAACTGAATCCACAGAACGGAAGTGCAAAGATTTAACTGAAAGAGTAGGCAAACAARTTACCTGAGAAAAGCTAGAACTTGAACTTGCAGTATAGATCTAACTGGCATCAGCCCTGTGTATGTGCTTCTCTGTTAATGAATGTGAGGTAACTACCTCATGTTAGAAGCAGAAGCGTACATGGCAAAGCCATGGCTTGGATTTTGCTGTGGGAGAGGGCCAGCATTGTGTTTGGACTTTGCTTTATGAATCTTATTATCCCACAAATGCTTGCAAATCTAACAAAGTCCAAGCAGAAGAGATATTTTTAAACAGCCTTGGAAGCTCACATAGAGCAAAACTATCAATTCTCAGCAATGATCACTCAGGATATACTTGCAGTTGGCTTTTTTGTTTTCGTTTCCCAGTTTTCACAAGATAGCATTTGATGATAAAGGACAGCTTGATAATACATTACAAGGTGTGACTTCTAGGATCTCTAAATAAAATGTAAATATTAGAGATGGATTGTCTCTTAGTATCTCATTGTATGGTTTTCTGCCATTTAGAAATTTGATCAGTATGATGAAAACATTATTTTTTAATCTGTATACTTCTTTCCTGTAAGATTGGCAATGGGAAAAACACAAAAAGCAACCAGAAGAATATCATAGAATCTTACGGTGCTTTCTAGATAGAAAAGATTGCTGTTATTCCATCCATCAAATGGGTAAGAACACACATCAACTTCTTTTTGTGCACTGAAATTGCTACTGTGTTGAAACTTTCTGATTTGAAATAAGTTAGTTAAAAATTTTTAAAAGGYGATTATGAAGACAGTGTTTATATTTATATATAAATAAAAATGCATGCAAATGGGTACAAAATTTAATAATTCAGAAATGTTTTTAATTAAGACCTATAGAAGTCCTTATGCTAGAATCTAGCTCTTGAGAAAAACTAGAGTTTTGGTTACCAGAGTTGGTAATATTAAAATAGACAGTCACAAAGCTTATTGGTATTATTTGTAAGGACATATTTGTAATTCTACCATTACAGATTAGGAATTTTTTGTAAGGGAGCTAGGAGTCATGAAGTTTTGAAAAGAGCACAGATTGAGAAAATAATTGTTGCTGCTAAATACAGCTTGCACTTGCTCTAGAATGTGAGAATGTGA